AGAGCGTATTGTGTGAAAGATTAAAGCCCACCGTCAACAAATTGATTGGACCTTATCAGTGTGGCTTTAAACTTGGCAAATCAACAACCGACCAGATATTCACCATGCGCCAAACCTTGGAAAAGACCCGTGAAAGGAGAATCAACACACACCACCTCCTCTTCGATTTCAAAGCTGCTTTCGACAGTACGAAAAGCTCCTCAAGCTCCGTCAGAATCGGGAAAGACCTCTCCGAGCAGGTCGATACCAAACGACAAGGCGACTCCTTATCGTGCGACTTCTTCAACCTGCTTCTGAAGAAAGTAGTTCGAGATGCAGAACTTAATCGAGCATCGGTCTCAACACCCGCGCCGTTAGTTCTGCTTTCTCCAGACTGGACAAGGAAGCAACACAAATGAGTCTGGCAGGGAACGAAGCCAAAACGAAATATCTCCTGTCATCAAACAAACAGTCGTCGCACTCGCGTCACTGTTGACAACGTCCGGTGTGTTTAACGTAGGTACCTGCAGACGACAGCCTTACCCCACGGTGCTCAAAAGTACAATGGATCAATTTAATGCGTTGATCAGCGCCCTGCAAAATACTTTAGTATACTAAAATACTAAGTTTTTTCAGTACCAATTGGCAGTGCGGAATGGACACACTAACCATCTTGGAAGGGTTCGAGGCCCATCTAAAACCTCTGCCGTACTTTGGGTCCGGCACCCGGTTGCAATGCAACTCCGCATTGAGTGATCAAAGCACTCTTCCCGCATTTGGGCATAAACCACAACCACCACGATACTCCCCAAGGGGCCTACCGCATGAGCAGGTTGGAGCGAACTCCAAGGGCTCCTGCTCCCCGTGGTACCAGAATTAAGTCCCCGGTCAGACTTCGTAGCCGGAACTACTACTAGTTGAGCTTCCATACTGCTCTGGACTGGTGGCCAGGGGTTAGACCCCATACTCCCATCCCCTACACCCATAATCCCCCTTACCTAACCTAACTTAACCTAACCTAACGTTTCAGTCAATTGTCTCCGCCGCCTAAATATCTCACGCGCAAACCTATCCAACGTCCCTAATTGTTCGGAATTCCAGCTAGTGGAGATCACACCGCTCACATCTAGCTGTCCATTTAAATAACTAATCCCCATTCTCCTAAAGCTTCTGATGTACATTGCGCATTCTGCGATGACATGTACCCAATCCTCATTTAGTGCTCCACACGCACATTCGGGTATTTCTGATAGTTTCCTCCTGTGCAAGAATGCATTCAGGGGCCCATGTCCCGTGAGTAGGAAGCCCGAGCTCAGACAGAATCTGAAGTCGTGGTTTCCTTCCACAAGCCTGACATCCTGGATGTATTGGTAAGTCACTCGACCGTTTCTGCTATTGTTCCAACGGTTTTGCCACTAATTCCTAACTATTTCATCTAGGAGCCTCTTGCTTCCTAGATATCCCTCCCTCTGTGCATCATTATCATTCTGGAACAATGACACACTCAAACCCCTCCTTAATCTGAATGCAACAGCTCTCTGTACGACAATCAGATCAAGCGGGAGAGCTCCTAAAGCACCTGCATTGCTTCCGTTGAGACGGTGCGACATACGGGTAAGCAACCAAGCATTATAAAACGCTGTATTGAGAGGAGCTTTTGACACCCCAAGACTGTCGTGGCTGTTTCCCACAATACAGCGGTGCCAAGTGGCACAGGCCACAAACAAACCACGATATGTGGTGCAAACAGCACAACGTCCGCGACCCCAATCACTCCTCAAAATGCGTCGTATTTTGCCTACGGTTGCCTGTAAGCGCTCCTTCGCAATTGCTAAATGGGGAATGAAACTCATTCTCTCACTCATAGTCAGCCCCAAGTATTTGACCTGCGTCACGTACCTGATGCTGACCCCATTTACCCGGACGATTGGTGGACGTACCGGCGACAATTTCCCTTTTAGCAGCATTGTCACGGTGTTATCCATCGAAATGTCTACCCCCACACCAACGCCCCAATTGTGGACAATTTCGAGAAATTGACTACCCGCCCGTTCTATTTCGCTACGTGAACGACCTCCTACTAAAATAAGAAGGTCATCCGCGTAYGCAGAACATTCACAGAGTGGCTCCAGCTGTGCCAGCAGGGAGTCCATCATGAGGTTCCATATATATGGACCACAGACAGCCAGGAGTCACACTGGTCTCAACGCTCTCATTCATTCCAACGATAGAGGCCTTTCTGACCGAAAAATAACTCCCCCAAAGAGTAATTTCTGGACCGTTCAGCTCCTCTAATTGTTGAATTACCCGATCCCAGATCAGATAGTCGAATGCTCCTTTGAAGTCAACAAATATACAAATTCTGGACATACATCCAGGCGTCCTCTACGCTGCGTCCTGTTCTGAAACCTTATTGTCTATCTGACTAAATACTGCTCGTATGCTCCTGAAGCCGTTCCACTATTACTCTTTTCAGCACTTTTCCAAGAACTGGAAGGAGACTGATGCCCCGATAGGA